TCTCTCTCTCTCTCTCTCTCTCTCACGTGCAGGCGTGCGCGCAACTGGTGTGCACACTTTTTTTTGTTTTTTGGTTAACCATCTCGATGGACCTCGGATCAGATACTACACTTGATCGTGGGGTGTGTGTTTGAGGAGGGGAGGGGGGGGGGGCGTAGTTAGTTAGGTTGGGGTCTCTCTCTCTCTCTCTCTCTCTCTCTCTCTCTCATCTCTCTCCTGCGTATTAAGCGCGCTTGTTTTTATTCTTTTCTTTTAACCATCTGGACGAACCACGGATCTGATCGAAGCAGCTGCAAGGAACATGAACGAAGTACAGAAATCGAAATTGCAAATCACCCTGTAGTGCATGTAGTCAAGCAAAGAGCAGATAGCATATTGGAACCAAGAAACCATCCATTGAAAACGATACTGCAGAATCAAGAGTCAATGTCCAAGCCCGAAGGGCCACACCAACATCAGAACCCAATGTAGCTCTCACTTCGAATGGCGACGGGCGCCCTATCTACTCTACAGCCTATCCCTACAACTACAGCATGACGCGACCAGGACGGCTTGAAGACCAGCGTGCTTGACGTCAACACCAATGCCGACCTCCTCTCGCACACCAGGTAAGTACTCACTCGCTCCCCTCTTCTCTTCCCTGACTCCCACTCATCGTCTCCTCCTTCCAAAGACCACCTTCGCCCTCACCTCCTTCTGCGCCCTCCTGCAGCCCGGCTATGGCTGCCAGCGCCTTGCACCCTAGCTGCGCCCTACCGCTTAGCGCCAGCCAGCTTTCTCTCAGCCAGAGCGTAGCGCAAGCTCTCGCGCTGCAATGTAGCAGCGTGCCCGCAATGCCTGCATTGGCCAAGATCTCTGCCCACTCGCACATTCTGCCTATATGCCTTGCTGCGCGACTCATCAGGAGGTTGAACCACGACAGTCTGCCCAGAGTGAAAGAGAGAAGCAGCAAGCGAGAGAGAGAGTTTGGATACGCACCAAGGTCCACAACAGCAAGCAGGGCATAGACAACACGGCCAGAGGCAGTACCCAGCACGTACTATGGCAAACAACATGAACGCATAGGAGCAAAGCCCAAGAAAATATGGCGCGATGCGGTTGGAACTGACAAAGGCAAAGTGAGGTACCCAAAGTGAGGTACCCAAAGTTGCCTGCGAACTGGGCCGTCGGTCTGTTCGCCCCGAGGTACTGGGCCGAGGGCCTGGATCTACGCGCACGGCACTTGACTCCGGTAATACTCCACAGGACTCCGCAGTGCGTCTATCTGCAAAAGGAACTCCCCGGCGTGTCTATCTCAGCCATCGGTACAGACCGACGGCCTGGATCTCGGCGTGGTCCTAAGATCTTAAGACCGCATCTATCCAGGCTGTCGGTCTGGTAGGACCCGACGCCCCAGATGGCAGATTTGTTACATGGTTATGTCGATCTGGGCCGTGGGCCGGTAGCACCGACGACGGCCCGGATTTCAGATTTGTCACGTTGGCGATTTTAATAGTGTAGGGATGTACCTATGAGGGGTCGGTCCCCACATCTCACACACTTGCAACTTAAAAAGAGAAAGAAAAGGGAAACCTGGGCCAGACTGCCGGAAAAGACACAACAAAGATCAGTTACTATTGTAAGGAGGCTTTCACCCATACATCATTCATGGCGTGTGAGCATGCAGGCAGATACGGTGATCACCCCAAATATATGAAAATCAAGTCTGTCTTCTTCAACAGAACCGTTACATAAGACCCACAAGCAATTTGCAGAATCTTCAATGGCCAGATATCCCACACACAGGAAATTATGGATGATGTAGCTATGGGGTGTTGGTCCCCACATCTCACACACTTGCAATTTCGAGATAACAGGCCAACACAACTTGTTCATGCAAACACCAGGTGAACTTCAGTGTCACTTCCCACAGTCCAATCCGTCTCTCGCTGCTATCAAAGGTACACGTGAGAGTTCAATGCAGATTTCATGTGCTCCAATCTCTACTACCACAAGCATGTCTCCTTCTCTCCAACACAGGATCTCTCCCTGAACATCAAATTGACGCTCCCACTGAATGGCTCACTCACCACCAAGCAAAAGCTATCTCCCACGAGTGCCCGCCCGCCACTACAGCACGATCCCGCTCCAAAACTAACAGGAAACAACAACTAACAGATGGCAACTCGATTGCCCTTCTACTCCAGCTATGACTGTCTTCTTCGCCCCACAACCCACACAACCCACTGCTTGATTTCCATGAACCAGCACCACACAGAATGAATGGTGTTGCAAAAACGAATGCTGTAGCTTTTTGTTTCCCGGGCAATTTCGTCGGTTTGCCCTTGGAACCCTCAAGATAGCTTGCTTGACTCACAATAAACGCACAAGTGGTACTAAATAGCAACAGGTAAGTGCACAGGTAAGTCAACCTCAGGTCCCGGGTGCAAACTCCAACAGCATCACACAGGCATACAACATAGCAGAACAGGCAACAACAACAGCGACAGGTCCTGGCTTCGAATCACGGCAGACTTAGGAAGGTGAAATCCTTTCACTATCCCGAAAAATAACAAAACAATCATCCCCTTCAACAATCCTAGTGCAAAAGAAGAGAACTGGAAGTCAGAACGCACAAAAGAAAACAAGGGGGGCGACATCAGAGGACAAACTCTCTCTTTTCCAGCACAAACACGCAAACCACATCGACACCATTGAACATGGGTCAGATGAGTCTCCCTGTCTGTCTTTGTGCATGTCTTTCCGTCCGTTGGTGTCTCTCTCTCTATCTACGTTACCAATGTGCATCTATCTCTTCCTATACTCTATCTATATACCCCTCATCTACCTCTTCTTCTATCGGATGTCTTTGTTTCGCCCCTCCCCTCCCCCCACCCTCTCTCTCTCTCTCTCTCTCTCTCTCTCTCTCTCTCTCTCTCTCTCTCTCTCTCTCT